GCGGGAGCGCTGTGCGCGTGCGCGGGAGCGCTGTGCGCGTGCGCCGGGAGCGTCGGCTGCCGTCGGGCTCGCGCCGCGGGCCTCCCTACGCGGACTGGGGAGCCCCGCTGGGGGATCAGGTCCTCCGCAGCCTGCGGGGCCCGCCCGGGAGCACGCAGGCAGATCCGCCGTGAGACCCCACGCCCGCCATCCCGGGTGGCCCTCGGGTGACTGCGGTGTCCAACTGCCGTCCTTCCTCCCCTCTAAACCCCGCCCGAGGCCGGGGTGGGGCACACGCCTGCAGCCCCAATTCGCGGGAGGCTGAGGCAGGAGGATCGCCTGGGTTACGCAGCGAGATGCTGTCTTATAATAATAATAATAATAATAATAATAATAATAAATAAACAAAACCCACTTCAGCCGGGCTCAGTGGATCACCTATTGTATTTTGTGAATGAAGTGTTGCTTGATTCCAGAGTCGGAAGTCAGAATCAAGCCAATTAACAGTTAATAAAGCCAATTAACAGTTGTCACATCCTCGTGCTTCGGCAGCACTCCAGTGCTCGGCTGCATAGCTGACGTTTCTCTCCTGCGGAAACCTGGCACACCGCAGATCTGTCAGTGAGCGTGGATGATTCCCGCCCGGAAGGGTGACGCGACCAGCGCGCTTCCCGGCCTGCCTTTCCCTCTCTGTCGGTCCTTACCTTGCAAATACCCGGTAGTAACGATCGGGTATGAGGAGCAGGTAAAGGGACCGTTGGGTCTCCCAAGACCCAAGGGACAGCTTTTAAGCTCCAGGTGTGCCAGTGTGTGTTCAGCATGGGGTTCTTCCGAAGGTACGTGTTGCTTGGTTGTTTCGCAATTAATCCGTGAACACTGAAAAAGAAAAAGCTGGGTGCAGCGAGGCGCACCTATAATCCCAGCTGCTGAGAAGGCTGAGACAGGAGGATCTAGAGTTCAAGGGCAGACTCTCTGAAAATTAACATTTGCAAAGGCTGGGAGCGGGCCTCAGCGCAGTCCCTTCCTGCTTAGGGCCTGGGTGCTGTCCCAATCGCTGAACAGAAGAACAGTCTGTAAGCTTTTATTGTGCCCTTCTTCTCTGCCCACACAGACGCCAGATCTGCTGTCCTAAGAGCATGGACTACGTGTTTCTGCCTTTTCCGGATTTTTATAATAAATATTGACCGGTAAGTGCCTTCTTGGCCGCACTGCATCTTTGTAAGCAGGGAGCTTTTTCTTTCTCCGCTAGATGACGTGTCACAGGCCAGAAGAGGGAGGGTATGTGGCTCGTGGCGGTGGGGAAGCGCAGCTTCTGCTCTTTTTCCACCCAGGGAGCTCTGTGGGGTCAGCCTAGGCTTCGATTCATTGTTAAAAGGCTGTGGTGTGGGGGCTAGGGTTCTTCGTGCATGTGGATGTGTTTGGGTCACCTTCTTGCTATAAAGCCCAGGGTGGCCTCGAACTCGCAGCGATCTTCCTGCCTCCTTCCTCAACCTCCCAAGTGCTGTGATTACAGGCATGCCCCACCATAGTGGCCCCTCTCCTCTGTGCTTGGAAACACTGAAGTCCACATTTGTAAAGATGTCTCAGTCCTGCGCCTCCCTTTTTATTCGCGCCCAACTGGAAAACCACATCGTGGTCCTCTGCCACCTATGGTCCCAGCAGTCTGGAAGGCTGAGGCAGGAAGACCGCAGGCCCAGCCTGGGCAATTTAGTAATTTAGCAAGGAGCCTGTCACATTATAAAGAAGGATTAAAGGCGGAGCTCAGAGCAAAGGCCTGGGGCCCAGTGTCCCGCACTAAGGAAAAACAGAAGACCAAGCTTTGGTAAGCCTCTCCAGGCAGCGGCAGATGCTCCCTAAGCACCACCTCCGAATTAGGCACAGCCTGTTTGCATCAGCAGTACGCGGGTTGTATTTTATTCTTATCCACACACACGTATAAGTTAAGAGCCTTGTGTACTTTTGCTAGCAGCCTTCACTACAGAAGGGCTGAAAGTCCAAGCGCGCGCGCGGGCTCCGCCGAGCCTGAGCCGAGCGCCGTCCAGGGCCGAGCGAACGCGGCCG